GCATTTCAATTCTACACCTGCATCTTATCTGAAACCTGTGTATGCAAGAGGTTTGATTTCTCCCTATATTTAGGTATTATTTGCTTCTTACCGACTCCAAATGTTTGTTTGTGATCAGAGTCGCTCATACAGTGAGGATCCACAGCAACAGCAGCTCAAGCAAAGAGCCAAAGAGGTGTGTATTTGTTTCATTCTGTTTGTGTCCTCTATGTGCTCCAGAGAACAATACCTGGATCTTAAAGCAACAATATACAACTTTTTTCTACATTAATATAACTGCTTAAAAATCATTTTGATGGTAGACCAACTTCTAATAAGGTTAATGGCATCTCTGCTATTGCCACTGTGTGCCCGGATTGTCTGTTATTGCGCTATGAAATCAAAATTTATTCATATAGCACTTTAAAACAATGTCTTGTTGATCAGAATACTTCATAGAAATACAATAATAAAAAAAAGACAAAGCAAAACTGTGACATAAAACCAAAATTGAACAGATGATATCAGACTTGACTAAGTGTTAAAGGTCATGGAAAATATATAAGTCTTAAGGAGAGATGTAAAGGGTTTGTGGCAGATCTGACATTGAGAGGTAAACTATTCTGTAGTTTAAGGGCCACTATGGCAAAAGCACGACTGCCCCAGTGTTTGTGCCTAGACCCTGACGGCTCACATTAAAAATGATTTGATCACCTAAGAGATCTCTGGCTTGTGCCACAGTATCAGATCACAGAGGTATAGAGGGACCAGTCCATTTAAACCCATAACTGCAAAAATAAACAACTTAAAACCACCTCTATAATTCACTGGAAGCCAGTAGACACCAGAATAGGGGTTATGTGTGTGTGTGTGTGTGTGTGTGTGTGTACTTGTCAGGAGACAAGCAGCATTTTGGACCATTTGAAGCTGAGAGAGCGATGAGTGACTGACTCTGGAGTACTGAGTCGAGCCTAGAACTGACAAATTCATGCATTGCAATTTCAAAGTCACATCTGATTTGATCTGTTTATCAAATTTTAAATCATTGCCAAACACCACCCCCAGATTATTTACTACAGATCTGATACTGAGCCAGAGGACCAAGATCCAGGTCAAGGGCAGTTAGGAACCCAGGTCTCCCAACAACATACACTCACTTTAATTTCATTAAAATGCAAAACATTTAGTACCACCCAAGTTCTTATGTCCCTCAGACAGTCCAACAGTGGCTGTAATAAAGTGCCCCTTGTTGATTTTAAAGTTACTTTAGCTCTGATGCATAGCAATGGAAAGGGAAGCCATATTTCTCCAAAATACACCCCAGCAGAAGCATGTTTTATGAAAACAGGGCAGGGCCAAGAACTGAACCTTGAGGGACACAACAAGAAAAAGGGACTGAATAGGTTGAGCAGACACCAATATTTACTGCAAAACCTTTGTTAGATAAATATGAGTTAAACCATTTAAAAGCAATGCTTATGTAACTTTGGATCACCGTCCCAGAAACCTCTCAGGAGAACTGTGTGACGCTTTATGGCACCAGACCCTTGCGCTAGCTCGGTATTCTTACTAGGCATTCACACCTGCAGAAACAAAACCCTGGGCCTTTATTGAGTTTTGATATTTTTTCAGGCAAGAACCTAACCACTTAGATTAGTTGCTTAGATATGTGGTCAGTCTTTCCGAGCAAAGCAAATTTGGACTTTTGCTCCGATGTTTTCAGAGCTGTGAGGACCCGCTAGTAGACCAAGCTAACTGTCCTTAGCAAGCAGCTGTCAGGGTTACTAAGTTTTAATAGCTACTGTCCTGACGTTAGCTGTAGAGATCTGCTAACACTAAAACACCCACCACCAAAGCAGAATGTACATCTTTGCTAATGTTATTTATGAAATACTTCAACATAGGCTGTAACCCTGTCAATGTCATCCCGTCTCAAGGAGATTTGTAGTGTTTTCCATGTGTAAAAAGTCATTTACCTCAGTCCCCTAAATAAATAAATACATCCCAGGCCAGAAGGTTTGCTCGGTCTTTGTCATTGTCACACCACATAAGCCTAACAGGTCCATCTCAGCAAGCTTGTAATAAATTACACTACCCAGTGTGCAATGTGAGCTTATATTGTGTTGCCAATGTTTCATTCCATTAGACACATCTACATTCAAACGCTTAGCAAACTCTCTGGAAATACAAGCAGTATTTCTGTAAAACTAACAAAAAAAACTGCCATTATTCATCTTCAATGTCACAATGAATAAAACAATGCAGATTCATATTTGTAGAAAATCCTGTTAAGTTACTTGACCATTCTTTCGTTGTCTTTCGTTTTGTTTTATAAACAAATGCACATGTACCACTGTCTGTGAGGAGGGGTGGTGAAAGTGCAACTAGTATTTATGACAGTTCGGTTCAGCTTGATTACACTCAGCAACTGTAGGGGGAGACAAACTGCCAAGTTACATGTTGTTGCTTTAAGTTGCTAGGTGGTCACCCATTTACTTTGACTGTTAGCTGCTTGGTGCCTACACTTGGTACACTTGGCTTGCCAGGACTTGCAGCTTCAAACAGCTGTCTGTAGGTTAATATGGATGGGAGTTGCAATGCCACTTTGAGCAGGTTATATATTTTTTAAACACCTGTACATGATGTGTCCCAGTTGAGTTGTGAGTTCAGTGCCCACTACAGTATCTCTGTAGTTGAAACATCCACTGAGAATAAAATGAGCCAGTGTTTGCTAAATGTCTGCAAAGTGCATATTGTAGAACACTCATCAGTTCTTTTTGCTTTAATATTTGATAGGCAGCCCAGCAGTAAAATGTCTGTTAAATACTGACGGTACTATGTAGACGTACTGAAAAATAAAGAAAGAGGATGGAGGAGGGGGGAGAAGGAACCAACACAAATTGTATCATAAGTGTGATGTTTATTGTTTCTGTGTGACTGAAGTAAATTAGAGCTCTGTGCATCGGTGCAATTGATCAGGTTGGACTACTATTCAAGTGTTATTGTTGCATTACATGACATAAAATGAATGGGAAGTATATTCTGTAATATACCACACATGTATTTGCTTATGTTAAGGTTGGACTGTTCATTCTAAATGTAATGAATATAACTTGATGACAGTCCAAATAATGTTTGTTTCCTACAAGCTAATTATAAGTTGGAGAAATGTAACATTACTCAGCTATTTTATTATTGCTGTGATGTACCCTTAGAATGAAATACCTATATTTCATACATTTTAAAATCAGTTTGTTGTGTTCTTTATTGGTGGTTTACATTTACAGATGTTGTAGCAATTTGTGATGTATTTTTGTAAGTTTGGGTCCCGGACAGAGACCAAAGTTCTCTTTCAGGTCTTGAGCTGAAAATGACCTCTGAGTCTGAATAAAAACTGACCATCATGAAGGCGGATTTATTGCACCTCTGTTCAGTTAGATGGCATTATTTTTAGCTTAGTGTACCTAAAATACAGCCAACTGTATACAAAATAGACATTATGGGTATGATAAGAGAGGGAAGTTTTCAAAGTCAGATGAAGCTGAGAAAATTAATTGTTACTCTACACGTCCTGTTAGTGAAACAAACTAACTGTAGTTAGAGTTGTTAAAAGAAACTGAGGGCACGTGGGAACATGTGGCACTTTGAATCTGTGAACTGGTTTGACACAGACGGGTGTAAATCCAACCTGCTCCCTCACACCCATAATCTTCATTTTCTTTGCTAATGATATTTTTCGCTTCTGTGGGCCAGTATAAACTTCTAAGAAGTGATGATTGAGAACTCTTTAAGTTCCTGCTGTTTTCATGATAATTGTCCTTTTAGTAATGCAACAGTGTGAGTAATATTTTCTCCCATCCCATGAGAGAAGTGTGAAAGGTAAAAGGCTGTGGTAGCAGTGTGGCCATTAAAGAAGGCGATAACACCAGGCAGGGCTTGTTTTCCTTGTCAGGCAGCCGTGTAGCTCCCAGCCAGAGGTTTCTCCACAGCAGCAGAATCTGATCATTTACGTGCCCTGCTGCTGCCACCTCCACACACACTGTCAGTGACAGACAGACCCACTACTACAAGACTGCACATACACACACACACACACACACACATTCTCTCAAAGCTTGAGTAGGTGTGGTGCCAATTGGAAGCGATGTAAGGAAGTCATAAAGGCTGATTCTCAGGTTTGAGTTGAAACCAGTACTCAACTCAACTCAACTTTATTTATATAGCGCTTTACCACAGCACAGCTGACCAAAGCACTTAACATATTGTACAAATATAAAAAAAACAACACATAAAAAGCTATAAACAATAATATAAACACTAACACTACAGACAGAGTCTCATTCCTGGTCAAACGCCAATGAATACAAGTATGTCTTCAAATAAGACTTAAAAGTAGACAGTGAGGGGGGCTGCCTAATATAAAGCGGCAAGGCATTCCATAGGTTTGGACCTATCACAGCAAAGGCTCTGCCCCCCCTAGTTTTCCGCCTGGCCCTTGGTGCCTCCAGAAGAAGCTGATCTGCTGATCTGAGGCACCGCGATGGATTATACGGATGCAAAAGTTCCACCAGATAAGAAGGTGCCAGCCCATTTAAAGATTTATAAACAAATAAAAGAATCTTAAAACGAACCCTAAAACGCACCGGAAGCCAGTGGAGAGATGCCAGTACTGGCGTTATGTGGTCCTTCTTACGCCCCCCAACCAATAACCGAGCGGC